TCAAACTTTACGATAAAGTTGTGAGTTGCCAGATAGCAATACTAGGGTTATCAAATTCCGAAATATAAAAGGCAACCTACGTATCCTAAATTAACATTAAGTGCTTAATTTTTTTTTTAACACAGTCGTTGTACAAACTTATCCCAGAATTACCAACTTTTCCCACATATAAATTCCTTGCTTTATTTTTTAGTAAGTAATATTTTAAATAAATACTAATATGTAATCAACTTTATTTTTCGGTTACTTTTTTTTCAAGAACCTTAACCGGTCCTTTACCATTGACAATGTAGGCAATACCTTCTTAATGGACGGCCTGCCATTCCGATATGTCTCGGGCTCGTTTCACTATTTCCGCGCTTTGCCTCAAGTATGGGCCGAACGTTTGAAGACAATGCATGCAGCCGGCCTAAACGCCATCGATACGTGAGTATAAAAGTTTATATGGTTTTCTAAAAACACAAAATTTGTCAATATTTTATTTAACATTGAACTAAAATAAGGAAATTTAATTTGAAATAAATACATGATTAGAAAAATTCGATGATTTAGTGCAGTTAAGTTAAGAAGTAGTTCCCATGCTTGAACATATAAAGTTCTAAACCCCTGCACAATTCAAAAATTATTGCAAGCCCGGAAGGTGCTAAAAGATGTACTTGAACCTAAACCATGATTGTACAACTTTCCAAAATTTACAGCTTCAACCTAATAGAATCAATGTTCTTTAAAAATTTTTCAGTATATAGCCGCACATATACGGTTTAAAAAAGCCAATATGTTAAGGTTAGATCACTCAAAGTGTAGGGAATGCTAACAGCCGAGGAGAAGCTCTTCGTAGTCGAAACTTCTCCATTGATTGGTTCGAGGCTACATGGACGCGCCTATTAAATTAAAGTTTTATTGATTTGATATTAAAATTTATTGATAATAATTAATTGATATCACAATTATATATATATTTATGGATTTAGCTACATCGAGTGGTCTTTGCATAACCCGCACGACGGTGTCTACAGCTGGGAAGGTATTGCTGATATTGAACGCTTTTTGGAATTGGCACAAAAAGAAGATTTATACGTAGTTCTTCGACCGGGTCCATACATTTGCGCGGAGCGTGATAATGTAACATAAGCTATAAATCAAATTTAAATATTGAAAACTAATAAAACATTTATATGTATATTCCGCAGGGCGGGTTGCCACATTGGCTTTTCACCAAGTATCCTGATATTAAGGTGCGAACCAGTGATCCTTACTATCAATTGGAGGTAAGCAAATGGTATGCGAAATTAATGCCACGCCTACAAAGATTTCTCTACGGCAATGGTGGTCCAATTATAACGGTGCAAATAGAAAACGAATACGGAGCTTTTTATGCCTGTGATGCAAAACATTTGCTTTGGCTTCGCGATGAAACTGAAAAATATGTTCAAGGAAATGCCGTACTTTTCACAACAGATCAACCTGATAATGGTTTAAAATGTGGCAAAATTGAAGGCGTACATGCGACGATTGACTTTGGAATAGGTGATATTAGTTTCAGTATATTTTTGTAATGATATTAAAATTTATCAGTTCCATTATGGTTATAAATGATCGTAGGTCCCAACTTCGATGAACATTGGCGCGCAATGCGCAGCGTCCAACCAACAGGACCGTTAGTAAATTCTGAGTTCTACCCCGGTTGGTTAACCCACTGGGGAGAGGAAAATCAAAGACGTGATGGGATGGAGGTTGCAGATTCACTGAGGTAAGACAAAGCACAGGCACATAAGCCGAAATCTTTGTGCCATCTTAATTAATTTGTATTGTTCGTAAGGAGCAATAGGAAAGAAAAATTAAATTTAATCAGTAACGTTTTTGAAATTTTTAAAAGAAAAATTGCATAATTAAAGACATACTATTGAGAAAATGCGTCCAAAACTTTTTCGAGTTGTTCATATTTGCACATAACCCTCCTTAAAATTAAGCAAATAGCACTTCAGAGCCACAGAAGCAATCCTAACTTGTTTTATTCAATGATCAATTTATCTTTAAATTGGGAGGGAGTTCAAAAAAAAAAAACATATATATCTTTTTTGATTTTAACAATAAATTGACCTTTTCTTTCTACCTACAGACGGATACTCGAAGCTGGCGCTAGTGTAAACTTTTACATGTTCTTTGGAGGCACCAATTTTGGCTTCACCGCTGGCGCTAACAATTATGGAGACTACGTAGCTGATATCACTTCTTACGATTACGATGCCGTAATGGATGAGGCGGGAAATATCACTAAAAAATTCGAAATGATACGCAAAGTCATAGCGGATTTTATCGACGTGCCAAACAGAGAAAGTTGCAATGGTTGCATAGAAACGCAACGTTTTTCTTACGGTAATGTAACACTAAAACCGCTAGCTAATTTACTCTCAGAAGTAGGACGCACTACATTGGCGAATGGCGAACCAGTGTCAGCTGAAAAACCGCTCACATTTGAGAATCTTGATCAGTACTCCGGCCTGGTTTTGTACGAAACCGAATTGCCACATTTGGAAATCGATCCCACAGTTCTCACAGTCAACGAATTGCATGATCGTGCCTTTGTATTTGTAAATGATGAGTTGGTCGGTACATTGTCGCGTAAAAATGGGATTTTGTCGGTGCCATTAAGCAAAGGTTGGGGTAGCCGTCTACAGATTTTAGTTGAAAATCAAGGACGTATCAATTATGAAGCTATGAATGATACAAAAGGTATTTTAGGTTCGGTAACAGTGGAACGTTTCAATGGTGAAAAACAGGAACTCAAGAATTGGGTCACCACTTCATTTCCTTTGGAAAGCGAACAAATAGTGTCAATTTCAGCAGTTTTTAAAAGCGAAAGGAAAGCCGACGTAGTTCGAAAAAGCAAAATTCTAAGGAATGGACCCGTTATATATCACGGTGAATTCACAATAGAAAATCTCGGCGACACTTATCTAAATCCAACCGGTTGGGGCAAGGGTGTAGCTTATGTGAATGGCTTCAATTTGGGACGCTATTGGCCGTTGATAGGGCCTCAAACAACGTTATATCTTCCTAAGGATTTACTCAATGTTGGCGTGAATACGCTGATTCTTTTGGAGTATCAGAAAGCTAACTTAAATGAGGCAATTGGAGAGTATACCGTGTCACTCGACGATAAACCCCAGCTAGATGGATAATTGCTGATTAAAGAGCGCTTTGTTATTATTGTATTTTCTGATAATTGCAAGTATTTTTTATTAAACATTGTTAGTAAATGAAAAATAATGACTAGTCTTATTGCTTACGAAAAGGTTTTCATAAAATTGGCATCACCGGTAAATTGCAATTAAATTTAATTCATAAAATTCTCGGTTTTTTGACTGTTTCGAACAACACTTGTCTGAGTTTATACTTGGATTTAAGGACATGAATTGTATCATGTTTTATCCATGCCCTAGAGTACTAATCTTAACTAGAATACCGTCAAAGTAGCATGCTATTTTTCCGATTGTTCTCAAGTTATTGGGCTCAAAATTACTCTTGCTCCGAACACCATATCATTCACAAATTTTTACAAATGAAAAAGCTTTGTCCGCGATGGGTGCCGAGTTTTTTTGAAACAGAAATTGTATCGGTTTTGTTATCAGAAACAAAGCAAAAGGATAGTCGCTGACAGATTTAATATGTAAGTTAAGAAATTAATTTATATTATTGTTAAGATTTAATTAATATTTATTTCCATAGGGGAAAACCTAGGAATAAAACACAAAATGTTGTAATTATTGAGTTTATGGAAAAAATCCAGATATTTTAAGAGGATTTACAAAACGTAATAAACGGAATTTAGCACCTAAATGCGTCTTTATTCAGCCGATAATGTGATATAAATATGTAAAGTAATCATATATACAAACATAAGTACATATGTATGTATGTAATATGTACAAGTAAAGGCAAACCAAATTTCACATGCGACTCCCCTGGGGCATTAAATGAATTACTGTGATCTTTTAATATCTTCATTTTAATATTTTTGTTGTTTTTTTCTTCCAATAAAATAAGAGCTAAAAAAGCGGGACCCAATCCAAACTTAAGTATCTTTATTCGGTATTTTAAATTTATCAACCGCTTCCAAATTTATTAATTTGCAAGTTTTGCCCCTATAGTAAATAGCTGATTCGAATATTGGTTTTGCATATGTTCAAAAAGGCGAAAATCCAATCAGATTCTGTGAACAACTACGCAAATCTGTCTTGGATTCCACAACTGAATATCGCTGTGCGTTATTGAATCGGTTGAATGTCGAGAGTAAGGCCAAGCAACCTCATTTGGTAAAGAAAAACTTGTTTTTTTACCAAGGCAACGCTTCGGCTCACTTAGCTTGTGATACGTCTGATAGATTGTTGGAATTTCGATATGAACTATTTAAACGCATATTTTGACGGCTTCGAAGCCACTATCGGCATGATATCGTAATATTGGAAGACCGTTACCACAAAATTTCATTACTCTAGATCAGGGGTGCTCACGAGGTAGCTCACTTGGGTCCGTATGGCACCGAAAAGCATTTTTTACTACAAACAAATCATTTTTAAAAACCGCATGCAAAATGATCATGGCAGGAAAGTAGACTTGAGCTGGCTCTAGATGGCTGCAAACGAATGATAAAGCCATATTTTCATTCAAAAAATATCTTCATCCTGTTGTTGTTGTTGTTGTAGCGGCAGAATTCTACCGAGTTGACAGTCCTTGGCCGGAATAAATCCGGGTCCGTTCCGGTTACGTAGACACGACTGTCGTGGGAACGGCTCCTGTTAGTTTTTTAAGCCTAAGAAGTAAATTGATAATGGTACAATTTCAATGACTAAAGTTTCCACTTAAGAGAGAAAAAGTTGTGTTATTTCTCAATTGTGAACCGATCTGTAAAAAATTTTAATATTTTATTTCTACCAACCGACTTCATCTGTCTGACGTTTATGCCCGAAATTAATTTCCACAAGTTTAAAAGGCGTTGCTAGCTAAATATTATCATAGTTTATTTGTTCCGTTTATTACATTCAATTGCTTATACATATGCATTAAAGCACATACATATATACATATGTATCTATGTTCTTATTATGTGTATACATTTGTATATGATTGTATAAGCAACATAATTCGTAAGGGCTCCACAACTTACAACGAATTTGCTGAGTCCTTAAACTATTTAAATCTTAAATAAATTATAAATATACATAATCAAAATAATTTTTAAAATAGTGTATTTAAGCTTCTTGTGTACCTCGATTTCGGTTTTACGGTTGTAGGTGCATTAAATGCTTATAAAAGTTCAACAAAGGGATATATATATTATATATACCGGTATATATTCTAAATCTGGCGAGCTTTCTCCTTCAGAACACACCCATTTTAACGCCGAAATCGGGGGATGCTATTCTAAAATTTATCTGTTATTTCTACAAACAATAATATTTAAGTAATTGTTGTATTAGCTATACTTACGATTATTTGCTTACAGGAAAAATCTTGGCAAACGAGAGAAATTTATCCATTTCGAAATACTATACAATATTTATAACTATCTAAAAAAAAAGTGTGTGTACATAACCTACATAACACTTTATGCAATCAATATTTTGTAGTATAATGGAAGCATGAAAGAAAATGTTTAACATATTTCAAATATAATTAACCGGCTACAATTCGTCACTTCACTACTCGCTATATACGAGCTCTGCTCTTCAAAAGATTCCTTTCTTAGAGTAACAACAATGTAAAACATTGTATTTAATGTAAGGAAGTATGTGAATAACTCACTAAATTGACATACATACCAGATTATACTATATATTTACTATTATTTTACCTGTTGTTTGCTCAATATGCAACTCTCCAGGGTTTGACGAATCGCAGGCAATTAATATAACCAACTAATGCTTACAGATAATAATCGAGCGATCTTAATTGTTGTTTCATTAACACAAACAATAAGCTCTCCATTTAATATAACAATTCATAAACATTACAATCAAATCTAGATATCCATTACAAAGTAAAAAATTGTAAATATAAAAACAAGTACTTAGGAAAGAAAATTATTCTAGCTTACTTTTAGATTTAGACTTACATATCTTGGAATGCAATTTATTAATTTTTTTATTTTACTTTACAAATTATTAAATTAACCTTTTTTAAAACACTTTTAAGATAATATCAAATTTTTCTTTGTACGCAAAAGTTGTCAAAAGGCAAAGACTTATATTAAAGAGATTTCTGACTGAGGGTTAATACCATAATAATTTCTTTGTATTCGGGCAGTGAAAATATATCATACGTGGTAACAGTGGGCGTAAAAAAGACAATTCTACACCTGGACTCCTGTCATAAAACATGACAGTAAATAAAGCCCTAAAACATGAGATGATAAACAAAACTAAACTTTTATCAAAGTTCCATGGCTGACCGAATTTATGTGTTGAAAATTGAGATTCCTTTTGTAAGTTCAGTTTATATCTAATAGTTTTTCAATATCTCTTAGTTAATAATAGTACTATATATTGCTAGCTAATTGTTATTACTTTTTTAAATATAAATCAGTACAATATTCGTCTGTCAAATATCTAACTCATTTTTTTTTTCAAATGTTAATACATATCTAGAAATATGTATTGGGGTGAAGCGAAAATATGTTAAAAATTGTATGCATTTTTTTAATGTCTTCTTGTATCAGGCATGACTTTTTTTGTATTTCATATTCTTTCCTGTAACTCTACCAAAATAAAATTACAATAGTAACAAAAAATATAATAATCCCTACCCTAATACATATGTATGTCATATGCCATATTTTTATTTTATTTTATTTTCCTAGCGTGTAAAAGTAATTTTATACTTTAACTCAACTATTGTGGACTCACAAAATCACTAGATTTTTGCGTTTCATTTAAGCTAACAGAACTTACGAGTACTTTTTCGTAACACTTATGAGTTTATTTAATCATACGACTAAATCTGCTTAATAACTTTTGTTTGAGCCTTTTATTTATATTGAATAGAGCATTAACACAGTTAGTCTTTACTTGACTCTGCTAATAAATAGTTAGATGGCCGTAAGCGCTTTTTTCCGTCCCGTGTAATACGTATGCGCTCCAACCACATAAGGACGAGTGTATTCAAAATAGACATTTACTTATGCAGTATACTTTTTCTGGACTAATAGTAATATCTTCACTTATTGCGTTTAAATAGCAACAAAAGAGTATATCAGGTTACAGTTTGCTGTACTTAATAGACTTTTCAAGTGCTTCAAAGTTGTTGCGAAAATAAAAAAATATATGTATGTATGTATATAGGTGTGTTATTTATGCATGTAGCATTTATCCTTTGTTTGTTTCGTAGTTTGAGTTGCATCGTTAAAAGTCAAGTTAGTTTTGTTTTGTTTTGTTTCGTTTTGTTTGGGTGAGTATTTTGAAAGCTGACAAAAAGAGTTATCACAGCTGCAATTTGAGTTTGACTTGAAAATTAGTGGAAGCATGTATCGTAGGAGATTTTAATATTTGTTAAGCATTTAGGAGTGCTTATTAAACAGTGTAATGTAAAAAGAGAAACTAAAAAGTGTAAATATATAACTAAAGTCATACAAATCGGACTTTAAAAAGCTTAAATCACTATTCAGTTGATGTTGCTTTCTCAGTAAAGCTGTTTGCATGTTTCTATGTTCCTCTAAGCTCGGCATATATGTACATATATGTCTCTAACTCACAATGGTAGAATAGTCGGAAGTTTAAAGCTTACGTTTAACTGTTTAACTAGTTTACTGTGTATTACCTTACCCGCTCTTTTTCACACATATTCTCTTTCATACTACACCCACATGTTGCGGCGGGCCTTGTAGCCGAACTAAATGGCAGTGGGCCTTGGCGGTACGCCATTGCATGGCGCGGCGGATGGTATTTGTCAGTGATACTTAGATTTTTGCGCATTTATATCAGCGCGAAGATTTTGTGTGAAGCAAATGCCAAGTATCTGTAAATAAAAATTATAAATTACAATAATTATGTTATATTGCTATAGTTATATGGATTTAAAAATAAGTAAATTATTTGTCAAAAAGATAATTGCAATTAAATAAAACAAACCTGTACAAAAATAAGTATAATAACGCTGGTTGAAATTATAATTAAATTATGCTCAATCCACTCTTCACCCGCTTGTACACAGCCTTTTTCGTAAATGATTTTCGATATTTCAAAATTCTAGGATAACACAAATATAAAAAATAATAAAAGTATTAGTAGGACAACGAACTGAAAAAAATAAAATAATTCATAAATTGTTAACACATAGCATAAAATAAATCGCTAAGCTCTAAAAGATTTTAGTACAACAGGACCTGCACTACGAGTATACAAATGCATGAAGACGCTACACTAATCAGGTGTGCTTCCAGCCAATCTTCGCCTGCTCGCAAACAACCGCGCTCATAGATATGTCGTTCCACCGGCTGTAACCCAACACCAGTATTTAATAATTCGTGAGATTGTTATTTAAAAAGTTCGATTCCATTATTTAGTAGACAGCAAATAGAAAACATTAGTGAGAGAATAGTTTAGCATTAGTAAGAAGATGAAAATTACTGCTTGGTTAGGCTTATTTTTTACAACTAAACATACATATCCTTCTTTGCGCACATCGTAGCCGCATTGCTTATTCTTTATTAATTCACTTGGTCGCCGACGGCAGCATGAAAACGGAACCCCACATGCTTCCCGACTCCCTATGGCGCTGGATGAACAATTGAAATAGTTATTGCTATCCCAATCTTTTGGGCCATCAATACCACAACACTGCAACCAATCTTCTTGTATCCAATCGATGAGATTTTGCTGATCTGGATCTTCACGGTAGTGAATTATGAAGGCACGTAATCCCTCGGTAGCTTGATCTTTTATCTAAATTAAGTTATGAAATGTATATAAATAGAAGTAGTAAATGTATTGCCAGTGATATGAACTTACCCAACCCTTGTCCTTTAGCACAAAAGTTAATATGCCCAAGCTTATTTCAAATGTCAGCAGCAACGACAGGAACAGTGCGTACTATTAAAGCATGCATTATAGGAGAACGTCAAAATAATAAGAAAAATAATTTTATGTTGTTGTTGTTTTTTAATTATATTTTAAACTTCAACTAAAATACTTTTTTATCCAAAAAATTTTAAGACTTATTTTCTACTATTATGCCTTCAATAAGAAGACTACACGCTTGACTTCTCCTAATTAAATCTTGTTTGATTATTTATTTTAATTGTTATTCCTCCATTATAGTTTACCAAAAATTATACAAAATTCTTACCAGTGACAAGAGACAGGTATTTTCTCGTAGCGCTCCAACGCTTCCAGTAAAGCCAATTATAAATGTGATTGTGCCCGTACAAATTAATACAAAGGCCGGATCTAAGGCTATAAATGTTAGCTTAGCCAAATTACTAAACATATCTTTTTCGTTCCAAGCCCAAATACCAACAGCCAGAACACATAATCCAGCAATCTTAAAAAAAAACAGAAAAATAATTGACTGTATCAATAACTTCATTTCCATATAACTACCCAAACAACTACGTTGCTGCTGAACAGTAGATATTTTAAACAACAGCTTATCTCAGTGGTTTCGCGACGGTATTTCCGTACGGAAGGCATTTTTGATACTTTATTATATATATTTATATGTCTGCTATATATCCAAAAAAAAATTGACTTGTTTGAATTGACTTTATAGAAAAGAATGTAAAATTTGCTTTCACTAGGCTGTTGCCTTGAACTACAGAAGTATTCCTTTCGCTTTTACAATAACCACTTTAATAAATTTTACAATATTGCTATAAATAGACATTCTCTTTTTTATTTATTAAACATTACGATACATTGGAATATTTTGATGTGGCTTAAATTTCTAACAAAAACATTTATAGAAGTTTTCTTGTAAGCTTTTCTTGTCAGATCACTTTTTTCTTATTGGAACGAATGTCAACACCAACGAAATCAAAAAGCGACAGTGACGTCTTCAAAAGTAGTACAGCCACACTATAATATATTTTATGTACACAGTCGATATAGAAACTATGCAAAATTTGGGACTGAACCGTTTCATTTCTAATTTACATATGTGCATACCCATAACGCCGTCACAGTCATTGACAGTAACTTAACGTAACTCTTCGTCATTCAATTTAAAATAAAAAAATTGATCTAGGCCTTTTTTTAAGGCAAAGAACTCTACAATGATTTCGCTTGCTATAAAATTTTATTGCTTTTATAAAGAACTAATATTTTTTTTAATACTTACAAATACAATTTTTTACAAGACGCTTTAAAAACTACATATGAATTATTGTCAAAATTAATGGAACTAAGTTATTCTTGGTTTGAGCAAATTTTTGCTGTCAGTCAGCATTAACTATTGTGAATGGCTTGTTGTGAAGAGGAAAATTTGTGCTGTGAAAGAAAGGAGTGTATTGGGTTATTGAAAGAAATTATAAATTAGGTGATATATAGCCAAAATGTCCGATAATGAAGATGATTTTATGTGTGAAGATGATGAGGATTATGGATTGGTATGTTTCCATACATTTGCGTTAAATTATAGCATGTTCTAGCAGTGAAATAATGTTTTCTTTTTGACCGGCTTACTGGCTGCTCTTGCAGGAGTACTCCGAAGACAGCAACTCGGAACCAGATGTGGATCTAGAAAATCAATATTACAATAGCAAAGCCTTAAAGGAAGAAAATCCAAATGGCGCGCTGGCATCATTTCAGAAGGTGTTGGATTTAGAGGGCGGCGAAAAAGGAGAATGGGGTTTCAAAGCGCTCAAGCAAATGATAAAAATAAATTTTAAATTGGTGAGGCAAATTTCAAATTATACCATTATAAATTGACTATTTATATGTGTGATTTAACAGAATAATTATAATGAAATGATGGAGCGTTACAAACTTCTATTGACTTATATTAAAAGCGCCGTCACGCGCAATCATTCGGAAAAGTCAATAAATTCCATTTTGGACTATATTTCCACTTCTAAGAATGTAAGTTATTCAGTTTTTAAGAAATTATCTAAAAAATAATATGAAAAATAATGTTTTAGATGGAGATTTTGCAAAAGTTTTATGAAACTACATTAGATGCGTTAAAGGATGCCAAAAATGACCGCCTTTGGTTCAAAACTAATACCAAATTAGGGAAACTATATTTTGATCTTGGTGATTTTATCAAGTTGCAAAAAATTCTAAAGCAACTACATCTGTCATGTCAAACAGACGATGGTGAGGATGACTTAAAGAAAGGCACACAATTGCTCGAGATATATGCACTAGAGATTCAAATGTATACCGTACAGAAAAACAACAAAAAGCTAAAGGCTTTATATGAACAATCATTACATATTAAATCAGCAATACCACATCCACTTATAATGGGTGTAATACGTGAGTGCGGCGGAAAGATGCATTTGAGAGAAGGTGAATTCGAAAAGGCACATACAGACTTCTTTGAAGCGTTCAAGAATTATGATGAATCCGGTTCTCCGCGACGCACAACTTGCTTGAAGTATTTAGTTTTGGCAAACATGTGAGTTAAAAATATATTATATAGTATTGAAATGCATTCTACATGATAGACATTGTAATAATATTTTAGTACTAAAAACATTACATATATTTTATTTATTCAACATACTAAAACATTTGAATTTATGTCATTATAAGTAATTTAAAGTTATTAATTATAAATATTATTTGTAATTTCCACAGGTTAATGAAGTCCGGCATAAATCCCTTTGATTCGCAAGAGGCCAAACCATATAAACAAGATCCCGAAATTGTGGCCATGACGAAACTTGTTATTTCGTATCAAAATAATGACATTACAGAATTCGAGTCCATACTAAAAACAAATCACAAAAGCATTATGGATGACCAATTTATACGTGAACACATTGAAGATCTGCTACGCAATATACGCACACAGGTGTTGATCAAACTGATACGGCCGTATAAAAATATTGGCATACCATTTATAGCGACAAAATTGAAAATAGAGGCAGCAGAAGTTGAGAGTCTCTTGGTGTCGTGCATACTAGATAAGTAAGTATAATCAATAATATTTTTTTCATAAATAAATAATTTTTATTTATAATTTAATTTATTTTAGCACAATCCAGGGGCGTATCGATCAAATTAATCAAGTGCTACAACTTGATAAAGAAAATAGCAATGCAGCACGTTACAATGCCGTAGACGGTTGGGCGAATCAAATCTCGTCGCTGCATCAGGCTGTGGTCAACAAAATGGCATAAACGATAGTGTAGATTTGTGTTAAGCGGGTTAAAAACATGCTTGCTACAATAAATGAATACTACATAAAAAGAAGATTTGCCTATTAAATAGTTTTCTTTATTTTAATCATGTTAATTATCCGAAAATTTTTTTGAAAAAATGCTGTTTATTTATGCTTTTAGTATTTACATACTTTTTGGTTTTTCATTTTTCAAAATTTAATTTCAACGTCATAAACGAAACGATGTTACTTAATTTATTCGAAACATTTTCAAAAACACGCACTAGCTTTCGCTAATTTTTATTATAATAGTTTGTTCTCTTTATTTTTCCATGTAGAGAGCATACATATTAATTAATTTCGTTTTTTGTTTTTGTTTTTAATATTAAATTTAAATAAGTTTCACTACAGACATTTGCTGGAACTCACCCACACACGTAGTTTGTAAATAAAAAATGCCAAAACGCACATTGGAAACACTAGAAGCAAACCGCTACAAGCGACTAATGCGGATGACACAGGATATTCACCCCAATTAAGTATTCTGTATATATACGGTTTACCAATGCTGCAAAGAAAATAATTTTATAAAACTTTCTTTAAATTTGTACACACAATGTCTTAGTGTACTTACACATTTTCGCCGCCTATCAAAAAATATACCATCGAAAATATCAAATATATGATGACAATGAGTGCTGGATAGACGAAGTGTATTATGCGGGTGGGAAATGCCACCACAACTTGATCGATAATCATCAAAACCGAGTTAATTGCGTGCGAATTGATGTTGTGGAAGTAGGCAAGACAGCTGTGATTGTCAGGTCCTTCGAAGAAGTACCGATACAACCGTATGATTTCGATGCGATGTATGCCTTCGGGTACTTTAAAATTCGAAAATGGATGAATAAATGCCCAATAAAGGAATGATAGACCAATAGCACATACAAATGCGGATATATGTAGATGCCAGTATAATTTGACAATCCAGCGCGGGCAAGCTGAAAATGAAATGCAAGTAATAACAGCACTTCACAGCATACAAGAATATATGAGTACAACTAAAAAGGAAGTTGAAAAAGTGAAAACATCCATACGTGCTTTTGGCGCTGTGAAACAGTAGACCGTTACTAGTATGGCGCTGAGTAGCGCGACAAATGTGCAGAGCAAGTAACCCCAATTGGTGAAATAAATAAACCATTTGCCATCGAAGAAGAATAGCTCCAAGCTCAAACCCATGGTGACCACCAACCAGGTGGCAAAGCACCAACGATAAATCAAGAATAGTATGGACCACTCATTCTTCTGCCACTGTAAAGCAAATGGTGAAAGTTGGTGAATTAAAAATGCCTAGCGTGAGTGCAGCTATTATGCGCACACTTGTGATTTGAAAAAACTGTTTACTGGCTCGTCACCGTTACGCCGCCAACTGCAGCAGCTGCAGCACTGTGAACCGCTCTGTAAAATCATTTCTTGTTCAGCTGAGGGAGTATGCTCAGATTATTTCATTCATAGATACCTACTTCACTTATTTGCACTTGTACATCCATTTGCGGCCGCCCAAAATGCTGCCTTTTTGTTCCAATCGCTTGCTTAGCAAATATATAATTTTTTAGTTATTTGACTTTTTCTATTTTTTTTTTTGCACTAACGATTTGATTTTATTATTTCCGTTTTGCTAAAGTCATAAGCGTAAAATTTTGTTGCAGTTCGGTGGAGTAAAAAGCGATATAAATTTTGTTTAGTGAAAAAATAAATACAAAAACTCAAGTCAAATATTATATGACAATCATATAGTAACATACATATGCATATGTACATAAGTATTTACAATTATGCTATTATTTGTAGGTTCTTCCTAGAGTGGTTTACTTTTTCAGAAAAAGTTTTTGTTGAACCAGGATAACATTCGCCAATTTTTTGTTTTTGGGAAATGCTGTTGGGGTTATATTCTTAAAACTTCAAACTTACCTATCCGAACAAAGTTACATCGCCGTAATAACAGCCCATGGACGGATAAAATCCGTAGCAATCCCGGTAACGTAGAACCGGCTGTGGCGCAAATTGGTGATATCCCGTTATAGCTTCCCTGTATATAAATAAAAAAATTAAAAATTTCGTAAAAATTGGCTAACAGACAACAGGCTTACATACAAGCAAAAACAAACATTGAATTTTTGCAAACCTTTTCTCGAATTCCATCCGCTATAGAAATGGCAAAGCAAATCAAATATATTTTTTGTTACTGATCCTCCGATTTAGTTGGTCATTAGTTGAGGTGGAAAATTAAAGCCATAATTTATATTAGTGAGTAAAAAAATGATAATCATATTAATATGCCTTAATTTAATGGAGATGTATTATTCTAATATCGATACATGCGATATAAACTCAATCAAAGGAATGTTAATTAACAATCTGTATTATTTGTCGGATAGATTTCCGATTCCTTTTGCATGTAATCGATTTCTACAATATTTATCTTTTAAAAAACTATGATGGCAGCTCTGTTAGATTTTACAGTTATCTTTGGGTTCAAATTAAATAAAAGTGTGCTTTTGTAGTCGTGCCAAAAAAATAGAATCAAGGAATAAAAATATCAATTATAGGCGTTATTTAGTAAACAGTTATATATTATAAATAGATGGTATAATCTGTAGGATATTTGCTAAAACTTGACATTTTGTTATAATAAAGTATTATTTGTAGAAGAAATGAGCCGGTGTACGTACATATGTATTGGGCATATGAAATAAAATACATTGTAGGGCTGGAAATTATAATATTATTGATATGGGAAATACTTAAAAGCCTGGACGGTCGAATATATACGAATTCTATTCTAAGTCAGATTGAAATCAAAAAGCATTTCCTATTACTTTCAATCAAATATCACACACATCCAGTATATGTGTATAGAGCCAACTGGAAGTTTGTCAATCCTTATATAATATTAGGTATGCGGGGACAGTCAAACTTCGAGCGCGAATTACGTGAATAAATAAACCAAACTGCTTCTTTTGAACGTGTGAATTTTACTATGCTCGATTTTTACATTTACACTCTCTTTTATAATGTTAAACTTATTACAATTACTTATTTCTTAAACTTAACTAATCTCTTAAAGAAAATGCAGCTGCTCAAACACTACCTTAAATTTTGTTTGAACAGGTCAGCGTTTAATTCTGTTATCTTATAATTTGCTTATATGTACAAGTATATAGATATCTGTTCAAATATTACATTTGGTTTGTTTGAACAGGACAATGACAATGGCGTTCGGGATTTTTGTGAAGCGCACGCACACTCTCTTCTTAACCAAATAGGTTTGACAATACAAAAGTTCACTCATCTGTAAATATTACATTGCTCCAATTACGGTTGATGTTTTCCTGTGCCCAACACAAACTTTTTTCAATGTGTGTTTTTGAAAGTAGGGTTTTGATTAGAGTTTTGCTGCGTTTGATAGCAGATCTCTGAATTCTGACCCGTATTGTATTTAGAGATATATCTAATCCCTTTTTAAACAAGTTTTTTTTTAGTTTCTCTTAGACTGAGCAGGGGTCTTCTCAAAAGGTAGAACGCTCAGGTCCAGAGTATAATAGTTTTGATCACCTAACTATTGTTTGTATCACCTCAAACTAATCCAGTTTGGTATAGGGTTGCTTCATAGGTTTTTTGGCACCGTAAAATGGGTGGAATCGGGTGATAACAACGCCCACTCCCCATATAATGGTGTTGATTAAAACTACTAAAAGTGCTATAATTCATTAAATAAACAAGTCAAAGCTAAATAAAAACACCTTAAAATTTCACGATTTCTTAGAATAACATATGTTTAATTCTTTCGCAACATTTTGTTATGTAAAGTTTTGCGAGCACCTGAAGGAATTTCCCGGGCTATGATGTTCTTAAACTTATATATAACTATATATCTATAATATTATATATTATATATCTATAATTATATATAAATATGATCTTTATACTAATATTTAATATATACAGCATACTTCGTGTGTAAATCAAACGTGAACCACTAAAACGGACTTTTTCATCTAACGGTAAATGAAGCAACGCAATTTGTACATCCCAAAGAGTAGAAATCATATAATTGAAAGTAATGCAAAGCAAATAATAATGATATTACCGCCGTAGCCGTTTGGGCCCATTCCAAAATCTTCTATACGTATGTATGTAATAGTCTCCTTGCACCAATGTTTGAAAATCCTGATATTAGTTATTTGGGAGCCAGGGCAGGTTTTCACCCGATTTTAAACATTTTAGACACACATTTGCAGTGCATTAATTAAGATAACTTACATATTGACCGATATGTGGGGTATAAAGTCGGCCGGAAGTTTGAAAATTTTTCAGTTAGGTGTATGGGGACTAAGGGAATTATTGATCCGATTCAATCTAATTTTGATACACAGTCATACTATTATCAGAAGGGGATTATCTCCGAATTTTTAGAATATATCTCATAAATTGAGAGATTCACATATTCGGTACCTACGGGCTTGAATAGTTTTGGTTCGATTTAGGTCATAAGTTGGCACACTTCAATGGATGTGTGCAAAGTTTACCCCGTTATTGTCATTTTGTCTTGATTTATACTGGAAAGCGAAAGAACAAGTGGAATTTAAAATTGTGTTATATGGGAAGTAGACGTGGTTGAAGTCTGATTTTGCCCATTTTTGCACTGTAACATAGGAATATTAGAGTAATGTTACCTACTGAACTTGGTTAAAATCGGTTGTGTAGGTCCCGAGGGGGTTTCTCCTAAATGTTGACGATGCCACGCCTAAAGTCCAATTTTGACAGCTGCTCTAATAAAGCCCTTTTGAACCGTCTCGGGTGTAAGATTTTATGTCTCTGACGCATTTATTTATATATTTATCGCATTTTAAGTAGTTTTTACCGAAACAGTTATACGGGGCGCGGACCGGGTTATCATCCGATTTCTCCCATTTTCACACTATCGATAATGGTGGTAAAAGTATTTGTTTTGTGTGAATTTAGTTATTATAGTTTTATTGGCTCAGGAGATATATACATTAAACTTATTAGAGGTTGGGATCTCGCCCACTTTAAAAAAAAATAGTTCAATCATAAATGCCCCTCTCTAATGTAATTCGTTGTACAGAATAGCGGCCTTGTATTTTATTGTGGAGCTTAGTTATGCTATTTTATAGGTTTTCTGTTAAAAGTGTTTTGTGGGCGTGGCGCAATCCTGTCCATCTGCAATACTAACCTCTCTTGGGCGCCAAGGAACATGTTTACCATCAAGATATCTCAAATTTTACTCAAGTTATCGCTTTCACGGACGGACGGAACAGACAGTCACTCGGAATTTACCTTGTCTCATCATCTTAATCATTTATACATGTATATAACTGCATATCTATATCGATTAGTTTTAAGTAATACAAACAACCGTTAGGTTAACAAAACCATTATACTCTATAGCAACATGTTGCAAGAGTATAAAAATTATCATAGTGACGAGCCAAGTCGACTTAGCCATGTCTGTCTGTCTGTGTATAGGTGAATTAGCTCCTCAGTTTTTGAGATATCGACGTGAAATTTTGCACACGTTCTTTCCTTACCTTAAGTTGCTCACTGCCAATATATGTATGTATCTTTACGAAATTTTGCACAGGTACCCAAGATATCGCTACAATCTCCAAACATATTGTTCTGAACACTATAGCTTCGAAGTAGTCGAAGTTAACGTTTTTTCTTGTTTTAAACGTCACTGTTGTTCCTGTACAAATTCATTTTTCGAATAATTGCCAATATTTGAGTTTTAGCATATAAGTATATAATTTAGAATACTTATATATATACAGCTTGGTTAAAAAGTTTCTGCGCTCGAAATGAAAAAAATACTGTTTTTGGTACGAAATACATTTTTTTATTCAATATAATCTCCCTTAGATTCAATACACTTATTCCAATGATTTTATGCCATCCCTATAATGACTTTCCGGAAGGTCTGCAAAATACTCGTCTACGGCTGTAATAGCTTCTTAATTCGACGAAAAGTCGTTGGGAGCCAAATCTGGTGAATACGATCGATGCTTAAGCAATTCGTAATTTAATTCGTTGAATTTTGTTATTGTTAAAAGGCCTTTGTGAGCAGGTGCATTGTGTTGATGAAAAATGATTTTTTGTGCTGCAAACCAGGCCTTTTTTCATCCAGCCGATTCTAAAACACTGATGCCATAACCTTCTTTGCTGATTGTTGTGACTTCACCTGCTTTGGAGCTAAACAACCAGCTTCAGTTCACTGTAAACGTTCTTGTTTCATTTAAGGATCATGGTGGTAGATCCAAGTCTCATCTATAGTAATAAAACCACTCCACCAAAAAATCGGTTTCATTCTGTTTAAAATGCTCCAAATTATGCTAAGAAATTTGTTTTCGATCCAGTTTTTGTTGGCATTAGCAACTTCAATTAGTCAAACTTGGATCTTCACTAACAATATTATGAATTTACTCAATGATTTCTAGTGTGGTTACGGTTTTTGGTTGTTCTTCGCTTGGATAGTCTTCAAGCCTACGACCACGTTTAAATTCACAAGCCCAAAATTCAACGGTGCGTTTTGAAGTTGAGGACTCCTTATACACTTCTAATAATTGTTCATAAATTTTTTTTGCTTTTAAACTTTTAAAACAAAGAATCTAATCAATGTGCGTTATTAATTTTTTTCCATATTAAAAAAATACTCTGACACGTCAACTTCAAATAGCTTGTAAGCAAAGAATTAAGTGACAGAATGACTTGGAACTTTGCATGTGTTCTCACGACAGATGCACCAACTTAAGAATAAACAAAATTTGAAAATATTAAAAAAAATTTAAATTTGAAATAGTAGCGCCATTTCTTGGTGAGACCAACCAACTTTTCAACCAACTTGTATATATCCAATGTCTAGCACTTAAATTGAAGCTAATTATCAAAAATAAAATACTTTTTGTAATTTAATTATAATATTGTAATTTATATATATGACAACAATTTGTGGTACAAAAATTTCATGCTTTGAATATTATACTTATATCTACGTACACAATATATAGGTACATATATACATATATACATACATATAAGATATATCAATTTCAAAACTCTATTTGTAGCAATCTTATTCAGAATTAAACACTCAGTGTAAACTTGGAATTTTGTCGCTTGTTGTAAATAAATGTTCGCAATTTATATAGCCCAAAGTGCATGAAACAGAATACTGAGACCACTATTAAGCTACCAATTAAGGTTAATATTGTGCTGCCGGGATTTGACCAATCTTGTATCTCGTAAATGAAGTGGTTTCCGTAACTGCAAGAAAATGACAAGTAATTATTTATTTATAACACAAAAGCTTCTAAATAGCCGAAAACTCAGCTTTAAATTTAAATATTTTGTACGAAATTATAATGCCTTCACAGACTAATTTTAATTGAAAAAAATTTTACAGTTGCAAAAATTAAAATATAATAAGAAAAAACGTTAACTTCGGTTGCACCGAAGCTATAATACCTTTCGCAGGTACAAAGGTTCCTTACAATAACTTGATTCAGATCTAAGATTTAGATTTTTTCCAAGCAGGCACTTTACTCCGATAGTTCAGTTTATATGATAGCTGTATGACATAGCGATCCGATCTAAACAATTTTTTCGGAGATTATATTCTTGCCTTAGAAAATAACTCATGCCAAATTTCGTGAAGATATTACGTCAAATTAAAGAGTTTTCCATACAAGCACTTGATTCCGATCGTTCAGTTTGTATGGCAGCTATATGCTATAGTGGTCCGATATCGGCCCTTCCGACAAATGAGCAGCTTCTTGGTGAGAAAAGGCCAGGTGCAAAATTTCAGATCGATAGCTTAAAAACTGAGGGACTAGTTTGCACATATACAGACGGACGGACGGACATGGCTAAATCAACTCAGCTCATCATGCTGATCATTTATATATGTATATATTTTATAGGGTCTCCGACGTTCTGGGTGTTACAAACTTCGTGGCAAACTTAATATACCCTGTTCAGGGTATAAAAAGGGATCTATGGTGCACTTTAGGCTATCTGTTATTGTGAAAATTCTAACAACACTGGTTAATAAAATTTTTCCTTTTTTTGTCACATGAAAACTCATTCTGAATGTATTAGGGCCACTAAACAATGATATGTGAATGAAAAAATTTTCCCCGACAGGTTTTCTTGTGACATCAAAACTTATATTTTTTTAATAAGTACACACATCAGCTACATTTGGAGAAATAATTGTTTATTATAAAACAAGTAAGGAAGCGCTAAGTTCGGGTATAACTGAACCTACTCTTGCTATTGGCGTACATATATATCTATGGCGTATATGGCGGAGGAACACCTTCAGGTTTTGGCAAAACTTTATATAAAACTAAGGAGTGTATCGTCGTGATTTCATTTATTTTAGGAAAGAGAACACACTATTATTAAAAAAAGATTATTTCTGAATTTCATTAAGACTTCTTACATATTGACCGATATATTCGATATAAAGTGAACCGGAGGTTCGAAAATATTTATGTTAGGTATGTGGGAGCTAAGGGAAGTGTTGACTTGCTTTTACCCATTTTTGACACAAGTTATAGTGCGATTTTGACAATTTTTGGATGTCGGATGAAATACCTTAAAGGCACTATAACAAATATAACTTTGCTGATAACTTTATTGATGTTTGATTTATATATTGTAAAGTGAATGATTCAGACGGAATTTAAAAGTTTGTTATATGGGAATTAGACGTGGTTGTCATCCGATTTTAGATCCTAAATGGGACTTCTACCATCCTGGTTGTGAAATAGGAAAGCTTGTGGCTCATTTATTTCACGAGTTAAGTAGTTTTCAACATAACCGTTATATGGGGAGTGGCCGTGGTTATTATCCGATTTTACCCATTTTCACAGAGTTTGAAGAGGTGATAAAATCACCAAGTTTCATAAAGATATCTCAATTTATATTCAAGTTATAGCTTGCACGGACGGACAGACAGTCACCCGGATTTCAACTCGTCTCGTCATCCTGATCATTTATATATGTATATACATATAACGATATATCTATCTCGATTAGTTTCAAGTAATACAAACAATCGTAAGGTGAACAAAGCTATTATTCTCTGTAGCAACATGTTGCAGGAGTAAAAAAAATACATAAGATTTTCGTGAATATTTGGCCTCTGGATTCTTTTTTTTAAGCCTCCAATTATAATCTACTAGCATTCCTGCGCACCATTTCTCTTGATATCTCTACTTCATTAAGAAAATTTCTTGATAGAAGCTCTCGCCTTGTTCGTCACTCCCAACGCCCAAATTTTCCGGAAAGAAATTCAGATGAAAGCCCAGCATATGAACTTGTATGTACCATATATTTAAGGACATTATAAGTTCAGTTATTATGTCTTTGTAATTTACCGATAATGGTTTCTTACAAAATTTTGGACAACGTTCACAAAAATTTCCATGCGATTTTTTTTCTAATCATTCAGTTATTCTTCAAAGTTCTTCTCCTTTATCTGTTGCCTTATTTGTGTACCTGCAAATATTCCTTCTTTAATTTTTGCCTCGCTGAGTTTGCGGAATTTCTCTTTCAGATATACAAACATTGCCATTTCTAGGCTTTCTTTAGAAGTTGACTGCTCATAGCTTGGGTCACTATCTTCAGATACTTCACCGTGCTAACTTAAAACAAGTTTCGGAGTAAAATCCTGATATTCCCATCAATTTGGAGGCTTTGGCACAGGTAGTTCGGCACTATGGAGGATGGGTCTGTTGGCCGAAAACAAGTTTGGATACTGGGTAGTGTGTTTGGACTTGGTTGTAATGCCTTTTGTTTAAGTCAAACAAAAATACCAATCACTTACATAATCCTAATCCTGATCAAAATTTTTCAAGCTTTGATTAAGCAATCTTAACCATTTTGTAATATCCACCCCTGTTGCGGAAGGCTACTGGCTGCTATAATATGCGTAATATTATACACAATTGTCTGCACCATAAGTAGACGATATTCTCTAGTAAAACACAATTTGGTATTCTATTGTCGGACGGCGGCTGTATACCCGCAATTATAGATGCGTGATAGGGCTGATAAAGAGGGAGCAATTAATTTTGTAGGTACACGAAATAGCAACACAAGTCAAATTTAGATTAATATGCGCTGTTGTTACCAACGCACTTCTTGCACGAACGATTGAGATATTTCTCAAAATTATTTAAAACCCGATTAGAAAATAGAAAACATACATATAAAGTTATTAAATATTCTAAATATCTATGTTCTTAGATAAGAAAAAAAATAGTATTATAGAAATTTCTTCAGACTTTTCCAGAATCGACTTATGTTATTTTAGCTTTGAGACCACTGATATATATAATATATAATATATATATATATATTACGAATTATTTAATTACTTACAGGTCGACGCCTCCTGCCAAGTAATAAATAGCTGTAAACATTCCATATATTAAACCCATGCATACTGGATACACAAAGTGTAAGAGACGCACAGGGAAAGCCACCAGCATATGATCCAATATCATCAGTATCGAATTGAAGGCGTGCTCCCACAGATTAAATACGTCCAAAGGGGTTCGAAAGTAACCTGTGAATAAATAAAATCACTGTTTAACATTATACATACATATGTGGATATGTACTTATATTTTTGCAAATAATCTTATTTCTGCAATAGTTGACAAAAGTTTGCTAACGACCTTGGTTAGATTAGATAAATAATGGCCCTGAATGGACATATTTAGACGGTTAAACTTTGGTATTCACTACATTTAATATTATATAATAAAACAAATATAATTCTAAGGTATCTAAATTTACTAGGCGTTTTGAGAGAGCTTCGATCCTGGTGGCCTTAACCTCTTTGAAATCATTTACAAGGAAGATAATTTTTCTCTCATTTAATTGGGAATGGTATTTGGCAGGTTATAAAGTTGATATAATCTATTTTTTGGATACTATGTTTTGACTCGGATGACGCTCTACTTTTTGGTTAAGTTGCGGCTAACCTCAAGTTCAATGTTTCAATATTTGTATCTTACCGAAACGACAAACAAACCTTATTTTCAATGAACGAAAAGATTAATAACTTTTACATTTTATAAATACTTTAGCCCTATTTAATTTAAGATTTATGATACACCCAAAGGATTAGTGCGTGGGCGGTCCAATAAGTACTTAGTTTTTAAAAATAAGTTAAAGTTTTGTAAACATGGCGACTTATTTCTCAGCATAATTTCCTTTTTGCTCCATAAATTTGAACCAATGATGCTCCAAATTCGTTAACTCATTACAAAGTATGTTGATAAGTCTCAATAACCTCCATTCATTCGGATAAATTTTTCTGCCCGGTCTTTGTGGAAGAGCACTTCGTTAAGTGGCATATAATTTTCTGCAACTCGGCTTTGAATCAGCATGAAGCAATAGAAGAGTAGTAAACTGAGATCGTTTTGCCCTTTTTCAGGTAGTAGTAGGTATTTTTTCCGATCTTCGGCTTCTTCTGGCTAGGTTTGCCGGCTAAAGGAAACTGTTTTGTCACTCCTTTGGTCTTTGGTATGCTCCAGTGAATCAGTCAATCGTCAGCGGTCTCCCATCGTACCGACAGCTTTTTTTTGCCCAATATTTCATACATGATATGACCCATGCGGAAATTTTTTTAAAGATATTTTGGTTACACGTGGGCATGGCTCAAATTTTTGGCGTTTGCCATTGAAGAGGATAAGTTATCGTATATAGAATCCAAGCGCTCCTTTTTTTAATGCGCGATTTCCTTTCCAAGACAACAAGATCCGTGCCCACGTTCGCTTCCACCTGTTCTGATTTTGACAGTAGCCATCTACACGAATGTACTATACGATAGTTAATTTCATATGCGATAGTGGCACCATCGGGCAGTGAAGCTAGGTACTTAGAGGGCCCTCGTACTTTTGTGCACTTATATTTTTTATCGGTTCTGGTCTTCACATTTATAAATTTATAACAAAAGTTTTCAGTAAAAGTAATTTTTTGTTTTATTAGCTTAATATTTTACGATGTCATTAAAGTCCATTCTCAATAAAGAAAGCACAACAAATAAAATCTTTCGACAACTGGTAACCCTCACGTTTGTGATTTCGCCTATTTAATTGGAAATATTACGTATCTTTAATTTTATGCAAAGATGTTTTATAAATTATTACAGATTCATGAAAAGGTGACGGTCCTGGCGATCACAGGATTATCGACAATATTCCTCTGCGACAAATATTTTCATTGGACTCCTAAAGAAATACTTCTTGCTTTTGAGTATTACATATATTTCAATGGTATTATAATAGGCTCGATATGCGATAATTTTTTTATTTTAAGGTTTTGCCTCGCTCATAAATACTGAAAATAGCTTTAGTGTACTATACGCGTGATTTTGATAACACAAAATTACAAAATTTATGATAATAATTTGATATCATAAATATAGTTTGACACCGGTACTAACTTGGGAAAATGAATATCCAATATAAGAACGTTATAGTCGTGGCTACCGACAATGTGGTAATATAAGAAGCCCAATATAATTTAAGCGCCCATGGAGGTACACCTGTAAAAGGTTTTTATCAAAGTTCAAATTTAATGGCATATATATTTCACGATTACACTTACGAACATTATCTTTACTGTAATAAAATATCGTTACCAAAATCGCGCCAAAGACGCTTGTGTACATGCAAAGAAGGAAACCCCAATTGGTGAGATAGATAAACCATTTGCCCTCATCGAATGACTGGATTAAGCTGCCCACTACACCGCCTGTAAATGTGGCGGCGAAGAGCCAACGGTAGATTAGCCATATAATCGACTTCGGTTGGCATTGCCACTAATGGAATTAGAGAAAAAATATAAAAAACTAATATTATGTGCTCTGAAGGTAGGACACCGTTATTATCTATTGATTTAGACTGCTACCTGAGATTTGAAGAAAACTTCTGAAGGTTCCTGCGTCAGTGAAAATTTTTCTCGTTGAAACTCTTTGGCCAGTGAATGGCACAGTTGATGACAGATTCCCGACGTCTCACGCATCTAATTTAGATTTTTTAGATAAAAAAAGAATATAAATTGATTGGTAAACCCTTTTTAACTACAACACTACTTCGCTTCACTTTTGTCACATTAAATACGCGCTCGAGTAACAACCAGATCACCGTAAGGCCAACACGCTCACAATGCCAGAGTCGGGGCAAGTGTTGTCTAAATAAATGTTAAAGTGCTCGCATTTTTTATTATCACTTAGTTATCATACTTGTTAAATAACTGTAAATAGAGATTGTTAACAATAGCCGTTAGTTTCATATAGCACTCAGCTTATCATTCGCAATGAACTTGTTCATGCAGTGCGTACTCAAAATTTGGCGGCTCGAGTTGTCCTACTTCATCTATTGTTTTTAGTAATCACTCAGCTGCATAGGTTCTCAGGTATTTCCATTACCTCGTTGCTGTAGTTGTAAAATAAATACACTTTGTTATCGGTTCTTGATTCTCATATAAATTAAATATCGTAACACTTCATGCGTAAGTGGGTTTTCAATAAAAAATCTCAACGCTTTCTTCGAAAATCGATAGATGAACTAAGGTGGGTTTGAGAAAATGCTTGCTGGGCGAATAATACGCGGTGACACTAGGGCCTGAAGAGGCCCATGAAACGCTACGATTGAGGAGATAAAAACCGGAATTATTGGTTGGAATTATTAAAGGTTGATAACACGCGAAAGGTTTAAATAAGGAGGGTTACATTGTTTCACAAATCAATGAAAACGATATTAAATTTACATGAACTGGGCTTCAGATTTCTTCCTCTTCTCCAGATTTGGACCCAGCGACTTGTTCCTGTTTTTATACCTCAACAAATTGCTCGCTGGTATGAAATTTACTAAAAAAGAAGAGGTTATATTCAATAGTGACCCCATTTTGAAACAAATATGTGTAAAGTCACTGCGTGCCTCCTTTGAACGAAAGCAACAGTGACTCAAATATTTCCAAACGAAGAGCTTCAGATTCTAAGAAAAAAATGGATACAATGACTTCGAATACGACTTCGAAATTTACCTATTGAGAACTAAATTATTTTGCTAGCAAATTGTTGTCACTTTATTAAGGGCAGTAAAGTGGGTGATAAGTTCGGAGAAATTTAATATTCTTAAAAAAAATTGAATACTTCTTATCAGCGATAAAAGCTAGAAGCAATATCGCATTTAAAGTGAGAATGTCGAAGTTACTAATACAGAGGACAATCAAGTGACATTGAAAAGTCATGTATGAAAAGTGATGTTGCTACTCAAATCGAAATAGAAATTGCAATTCATTGGTTAAAAAAAAAATGAAATATTTTTATCGTATTTGGGGGCAAATTATTCAGATTTTAACTGCCTAACATAACTATATTAATTCTTAATAGTTACATGCATTACGCCAGAGTTTAAGACCCCCACATTATTACTACACTTATAATTTGATTACGATTTTTTGCCGGTTCAATAAGTTTACACTACTCAATTACTTTCACTCTCCATCGCCGCACTTCACAATTACGCTCCAATTGTATTATTTCCATTTGTATGTTTGTATGATACATTTACAATGCATTGAATTGTCATGTAATTTGTTTAAATTAATGTTTGTAATTCACAACAATATTCGTATGCAATTTATAACTTTCCCACCGGACAGAACAAAAGATTCATATTTACACACACTTACATATACAAACATATGTACATATGTCGAAACACTTTTATGCTAAACTAATTTAGTTCTTACATAAAAGGTGAAGAATAAATCATAAAGGTCAAATCAATTGATTTCAAGAGCAATATTGTAATTGTCGGAAAAGATTTGTAATTGAAGAAGAAGTAGACAAATTGCAATAGGTCAATGGACTGAAGCGATTTCATAAATTTTCATGTGATATTGTTAAGTAGTGAAATACGATATTCTCACCTAATTTACTTGCGAGAACCAAATGTGAGATAACAAAAAGCGTGGCTACGATCACCTTTGTTCCAAATTTTAAACTCTTTTATCACAATGTTCAAAATGGGTAGACAAGTTGAATTTCGGAGATGAATCAGATAAGATAATTGTATCGTTAACTCGTTTTTGGAGGGTTTTCAATTTCACGCTATGTATCAATATGAAATTATTATAAATATAGATTAATTATTATAGTAATGTTCTTCGAATAAACCTAAGCCTTAGGTTATCTTCACAACATAATCATTGCAAGCAATCTGACTTAGTCTTCCATGAATTCTGTTACATACTTGTAGTTTGCAATGCATATAAGGAGGACAAATCCGCAGATAAAGTGCCGTTATTTTTATTATAACTTGTATGCCCCTTAGAAAACATAAACATGTCGAGGGAAATGGATATATCGAACAGATCAATGTCAAAACTTATTCGAGATGATATCCAAATGAAAGCCTACCGTCGGGATTTTCCTTAAAAAGTTAGAAACAGGCACTGGGGTCCCTTTATTCGGTATCTGGGGCTAGAATATAGCATACCTTAATATTATTATTTGTGCAAAGTTTTGTTTCGATATATTCTGCATTGGTTGCTTGATTTGTATACTGGAAAGTGTAAGAATCATATGAAACTTAAAATTGTGCTATATAGAAAGTAGACGTGGTTGTAGTCCGATCCCACTCAATTTTACAATGTAACATAGAAATGTCATAGTAATACAAGTATTATGTGTCGAATTTGATCGAAAATGTTTGAACAGATCCGAAGATATGCAATTTCACCTGAAGGTGGGCGGTGCCATGTCCATCGTCCAATTTTGACATCGGCTTCTATAAAGCGCTCTTATACAAAACCGTTATATGGTTAATGGGCGGGGTTATCATTCGATTTCACATATTCACACTGTCGTAAGAACAGTCAAAAGGTTTTGTCCTGCGCAAATTTGGGTGATACAGCTTGAATAGTTTAGAAGATATGTGCACTAAACCTATTACCTTTTAAATATTTTAAAACCACAGATGTCCCTTCTTAATACGATTCGTTGTACTAAATAACCGTTTTGAATCTTAATATTCGGCTAAGTTATGGCACTTTATACGTTTTTGATTAAAAGCGTTTTGTGGGTAATGATTTCTTGGATAGAATAAAGAAAAAATGCGTGGATGTAAAGGCCGTTGCATATCACAGAATTGACACTTACTTGAGAGAATCCAGAAAACATAGCACAAGCCTTATTAAGAGTTGACAGTTCTAAATTCGTTCCTGATTTGATTGAAAAATGCATGTATAATTTTTGATATTTTAAGAAAACGGCAATGGGAGAAAAATATGTATCGCATCGTGATTTTTGTTTAACTCTCTTCTGGTACAAGAAAAGCTGGAGTTTAAACCCCGTTGAATGTTTTAAAACTGAAGCTCACGACTAAATCAACTACAAAACTACTTTTGAAAACTAATTTTATTTTTGTTCTTCGATTTTTAGTATACTTATACTGTATACCATTACGGTTAAACTGTTCATCTTGTGATGCTATCCAAGAATCAAGCAATTTTTCGATGTCGTGTTGTGAGTGGAACTGCTTTTGAGCCAGACATTGTGCCATCAAACGGAACAAATAATAATCGGACGGTGCAATATCTGGGGAATATGCCGGGTTGGGTAGGACTTCCCAGGTTTTAACGGGTTTGGCAACGTGAGGCCGAGCGTAGTCATGCAGCAGAATCACATTATTTTCCCCAGCGCATATAGTCGCTTTGAAATGACAGCTCATCTTGCGTTTGACACCGATCCTTATCTAGCAACGTCTTCAATTCACTGTCTCCGAAGGTTTTGACGCATATTTGACAGAAAATATTTTTCAAAAGTCTAGGTTAAGTTAATCGCGTTTTGGATATATCAAAATCGATCACCACTAACTGCTCGAACCATCTATTGTCCAACAGTGGAAACTTAGTTGCGCACCTAATAAAATTTCAAATCGATATCTTGAATAGTTTTTGAGTTACAGCCATTTACTGGGTAGCCGCTCAGTTCAATCCGGTCTACCGGTTTACTTTTAAACGCGTTTTTTTGATCTGATCAAAAATCGAATTTTGGCAGTCTAAAAACAACCAATATTTTGGGTAAAATTCAATTTTTTTTTAACGCCGATTGTAGGCCATTGTACGGACAATATTTTCTAGTTTACCGAAAATTTGTTATTTTTATGTTTCACCCACGGAGAAGGCCGACAGCAGTGGAGGATCATTTTTTCGTCGGAGATCTCATATAACTAAAAAAATATTTAGTTTTTTTTCAAACATTCCACTGTATATTCTTAAAACATGTATAAATGTATAAATATACCCTGAAAATTTCAAAACAATCGATACTTTAGTATTTTTTTCTTTAAATTCCCAAAAATCCACATTTTTTAGGTTGTCACACTTGGTGTACATTACATAATCTTTGATATTATATAAATGACATAAATAAACCGTAAGTTTTAAGAGGTCAATGTTGTGACAAAAGCCAATTAGGATCGCACTTGGATAAGACGTAAATACCGTTATAAATTGGTGCCAAGATGTCACAGTTTTACAAAAGCTGTACAGTGGAGTAAAAAGTGCCTGAATGTTACCATTTCACCTTCCTCTATACAACTTTGACAACTAGCCTCCGACAAGACAACGTGAACTCAGCTCGTTCTCATTCCGATGTATGTAGGTCAAGGGTGCCCTAAACGAGTATGATAATGAATTAGCTTGATTCGTCTCCTTAGCTAACTTTGAGCACACAGTGAGCGAGCTCAACGCTAGTATTGCTGCTCTGCTGTTGGAGTGAATACTCACCTTCCTGAAAGAGGCTGCACTTCGGAGCAATACATATGTATACAGTGGCAGCCACTTCTGCTTGCAAAACGCTAAAGTGATCCATAAGTGATCTATATTTTAGATGTTATTATACAATGCTTTCGAAATATGTCGAATTTAAGAAAAACCCTGCCTATATTTAAGAGTATATGACTTTCAATACGTTTGAATTAACAACCATTGTGAATTTCAAATAAAAAAATCGAATATGTATGTATGTATTACATAGTCGAAAAAAAATTTACTCAAAATTTGCCCATTAGTGAATGGAGCTCGGTGGAAACAGCGAGCATTTGAAAAGTGCCAAACGATAAAATCTGAATTAGAGAGTCTTATCATGCTGACGCGTACCTATACACAGTATGTGTTGCTAAAACCTGTCATTTATTGATTGAGTACACTATTTATAACTCAAGAGCGGCTGAAAATTGTTGGGGAGGTAGTTTGCAACCAGTGGACAGAGATAGGATATTTTTTATTTCTTTATGTTAGAGGTAAAACATTTCATATATAAAAAAATTAATTTATCTATT